GGAGGGGGCGGGACGCCCAGCATTTGCATTTCAGTGCTCCCCTTTTGTGCTTCACCTACACAAGGCCCCATGCTGAGTGGCACCGGGAAGGGTTGGCTGCCTCTGCATCCATTTGGGTTTCAGGCATGTTTTGGAAGGTCGATATCGGAGGGTACTTGGGGACCTTGAATATTACCTCACCGTCGCACAAGGAAGGTCTGCTCGTCAGCAACAACGCCGCTTTGATGCGCCTTGACGGGCTGCAGGGGCTCTCGGTGGTCAAGGACATTCGGGTGAGACGAAAGCGACAGGGATCCTAAACATAGGCAAGGGACACCCGTTTTTGGGAGCGCACTGATTTTGACCACTTCTGGAAGGTGGCACAAAAGGCAACATATGTGGAGCCCAACATGAATTTTGTGTCTCAACACAGGACACGGGCCTCAAGAAGGATCGCGGTCGGTCTACGGTCCCCTCCGCCCCACGTCCTAAATTCAGCTCAAGGCTGCAACATTGCTGGCTTGGCTGGCAGGTGAGCCACAATCAAAACCCGGGGATTGATGAAGGTTAGGGGCAGTCGGCAGTCCCAGCAGGAAATAGTTGCGGATATCCGCCTTTCTAGTTCTTGAAGCATGGTTCTGGGTTCACCATTTTTGTACCGATCGGTTTTGAGCAAGTGACTCAGGTGCCATGATGTGCATATGGTTATATACGGGCTTGGGTGTCATGGCCAGCGCAACTAATGACAGCTACCAGGTGTGCCATGCTCACAACACCTGGCTTCTTGGAATTGACAGCGATGATCATCCACCTATTGGTCAAGCAAAGTGTCGAAGGCCACATATGGTTGGTATGCGTTGGATCCGCAAGAAAGCAGCAAGCAGCAATGAGTGCAGTCGCTAGCACTGTAAAGTTCAGCCTCCAGCACTCTGGTGGAAATGTGAGGTTGCTCCACCTTGTGGGGATTTCTGCAGCTCGCACTTGAGGACCAGGTCACAGTCGGCCACAACAACGAGCTGGCGGGGTGGAGTGCGGGGAGAGGGGGGGCTGCCAGGAACGGCTCGCTGGGAGGTTTTTGCGATGAAGACTTCCTGGGCGCGGCAACACAGTTGGGCCATTCAACTGCTGAAAGCAAAGCCAGCCAAAACAAAAGTGGAATTGGCAAACTTGAGCAGGGGGTCGGAAGCTTAGAGGGTGTGGATTCGCTTTTTTTTCTTCTGAAGATGACTCGCAGGTTGGGGTGGTGGATTTCTGACTGGTCAACTCGACTGCCTCGGGTTTTTTGGGCCCCGATTTCGGGCCCATGGTTTCCAAGAGATTTCTCGGGCAGCTCGCATGCTTGGGAGACAGAAGCGAAGGGTTTTCAGTCTTAAATTCTTTTCCCAAGCCGGTTTCAATCATTGGACGGTGTCAACCCATGTGCACAAAGGACTCCACAGTTCTTTGAACGCGGCCACCAACTTGATCATGGCGATACTTCCCGCTGGCGACGGTTGCATGCGTGATTGTTTTGGTCTTGATGCTCGTGATGCAACTCACGCGCAGTTCAAGGACTATTCTGCTGTTGATGTTTGAAGCTTAGTTGATTGGGAGCCTGCGGCAAAGGCAGATACTTGCTAGGCGCAACCTTGGCAGGGTCAATCGCCAAGCGCCAGCGCCAGTGCCCGATTGGTCTCTAAGCGTACTGGAATGTGGGTGTTGGCTTGATTACATGTCGAAAGATCCTTCGCGGCACCTGGATGGGTTACTTGATTTCAAGAGACACTTTGCAGCTACGCGAACTGTCCAAGCGTGACCCCAGCGACAATTAGGGATGTTTTTTTTGTTGAATGATGTGGTTTAAATGCCTTCAACAAAAGAGTGTCGCGTGCTGCTTTGGGGGCCACACATTTACACATTTCAGCACACCCTGCAGCTCGCACAGGTCTCCATTGCAGGGCTCGCTTCTCTGCGGAAAGCTGGGTACGTGAGTGACTTGGCGAGTGGGCTGAGCTGTGGCATTTGAGACATGTTCGACAGATCTTGGCGAGCGCTTACCCTCTTTCCAACCATCAAGTGTCCCTTGTCCGCCAAAACGTCACCCGGGCAACTGTTGGTCTGAATCTGTCCATTCTCAAGGCATACCACTTCTCACGGTGCAGAGCCTATGTGGGACTTTCAAGGAGTTCCCGATCTTGTTGAACGCCTTGCTTGTAAACACTTTTGACAGGTGGCCTGCCTATGTCACGAGCCGGATTTGGGCATATTGCTTTATGTGGTTTGTCCAGCCACCCGTCAGCGCTGACCTTTCACGTAAGGTTCGCCCCGCAACGGGTATCTTTCAGCTTCAGGTCACTTGCAGCGAAACCCAAAGTCCCGGCCCGTGTTCGCAAGCTTTGCTAGGTCCCCCAGTAGTGCCCTTTTACCCACTTTTTTGGGGGAGAATCGGTTCCCCTACTAAAATAGACAACAGAAATCGGGCACCCTCATTCTCTCAAATCTGGAGGACCTAGTTGAAGTTTGCCACAGCCAACGCACAGGTTTGTGGCTTATTTTTTTGCCTCACATTTGTGTGATACTAGGACCTAGCTTGGTTGTCGCCGCTTTGGGCATAGGCATCTACACCAACCGCCAGCTCCGGTCCTTGCACGGGTTGGAGAAGCTGGAGGAGATCACCGGGGCCGAAGCGGACGGCGCGAGCCTCTACGTGCCCGCGGCGAAAAAGCGAGAACTACACATCTTCCATTTGCTTAGGAATATGTTTTTCCCCCTTGTTGGCCTTGAAAGGATTTTTACGTGTTTTTTTGTATTTTCCCTTGTTGGTTTTAACAGGAATTTATCACTGCTGGGAAATATATTTTGTATTTTTTCTGGGGGTCTTAACCAAATGAAAGACATGGCAAAAGAAAAAGAACATGGCTGTGGATCAAAACCAATGGGATACCATTTTGGGGTAGGTGCACCATCCATTTTAGTCTATTTTAGTGGGGATTGGGATGTTCACTGGGGGTACGGGATTTTGACCCATGGCCGCATGGCGTGCTCCAAAACGAGCGGAACCTGAGTGAGATATGGTGGGTATGGGTAAACATAGGTGCCCAAATAGGTTGCCCTGGGACATGGCGACGTGGACAAAATGTCTGCGTTCCCTTGGTGGTTCAATTTTGACCCATTCCAAGGTCTTCTCGAGGGCCTTGTGCAGGGAGAGCAATCGTAAGCTTGAGTTGAGCAGCATTGGGCAGGCTGCTTCATTTTGGGCCAGCGTGCTAAAGAACAGGGGGCAGGAATTGGCAAGCGAGGCAGATGCAAAACGATTTCAGAAACATCCCATCAAGATGTTGGATAGGTTGGATAAGCTGGATAGGCTCAGCTGCCTGCTATCTCTTCCAAATCACACTGGGATGTGCAGAAGAGGAATCATCACGTCATGGGCCCAAGGGTTTTTGACAGGCTTTGGCGGTTGGCTGTGGAGACATGCGCAAGACCCAGGTGACCCTGTAATCACGCCCAAGGATTGGACAGGCTCAGATGGCGGGTGACCCTGTATGTATCACAGATGCGCAGGTTGCAACTATGGAGGAGTTGCAGTCCATCGGAGCTCTGCATTCGCTGTCCGGGGCTTTGCCAGGATCGCTGGAGTGCCTCGGACAGAGGCAATCACACCGCTTGAGGCAGGTTTCAAGCTTGAAAGAGTGATTTCTGCGGCAGGATGTGCTTGACCTCGTCAGTATGGCCGGTAAGTATGGTGGAACAGTGAAGCACGGGGAGCGATGGTTTCCGTGTTACAATATGTCGGGCAAACGTGTGTGCAGACATGGGTCATGGGAACTGTTGGCAGTTTTTTCAGGCAGAAGGGAAGCCAAAAGGGAATCCAATCATGCGAAGCCTGCCAAAACGCTGCGGCAAACGCAATCGAAGGGTCTTCCAGTGCAAACAACTTTGTTCTGGCAGGTGTCTTCATCACGAATTGGGATTGGGACAGCAACAGTTGCATTTAGCCGAAGCTCCTGGGATTGGTGTTTCCCAGCTGAGTTTCCGAGCCTGGTTGGGGACGGCTCTCGGATTGCTGTATCATGTAGGAAATCCACGGGGTTGTTTTGCTTTGTGTTCCGCAAGCAAGTCCTCCAGCACAAGTGTGACCAGTGCATTTGCCAAGGAATTTCCAAGTTGCAATCTGTAGCCCATGACATGCCAGACCCGGGCCCGAACTGGGGTCCTCGAAGCATCACGCTTATGTACCTGCTGGTTTAAAGGGCCTCCTTTGAGCACATTCAATGATGTTCGGATGTTTCCTTCCTGAAGCCGTTCTAAAGCCTAGACATGCCTAGACCTGAATCTCATACAGGAAGCCAACACCTCCTGCAGAGCCTCAGCAGTAAGTTGGATTGGCTGGCTGAAACCGTGCTCCATACATGTTTCTGGCACATCGGCCCTGGGCTTCCGTGACCAAGTTGCCTCGGATGAATGCGTGGATTCGCACTTTCTAGTGATGTTTGGTTGTTTCCGGCGTTGCACGGTGAACGATCCTTGAAACAACCGTGCTGCGGGATCACTTCAACAATTCATTTGCCAACCCAGCACAACCCCAGAAATGAGATTGCACTGCAGCCCGTCCAAGGAAGCAAATGCCATCCGAGGGATCTTCTCATCTCGCAGCCCCCACTGGCCACCCCAGAAAGTATGACCTACAGCCAGCCACACGTTGGCACATTCCAAACCCACCCCATTTCTCTCTCTCTCTCTCTCTTTTTTCTCAAATTTTCGGTGCCTCCGGAGCCCCACGTTCAAACCCCGCTTCTCCAACTTGGTTTCCGACTTCGCTCTCTTCGCTCTCAGGGTCTTCTCGCTCCCAAAGCTCGGGAGTTTGCAGCTGGCGGGGCTCAGCGCTGCGCAGAGCCTGAAGCTCCAGCGCCTTGGGCGGCGGGGTAGCGGGGTAGCGGGGGGTCGGGGAGGCCTAGATGGGAGCCCCCCGCAGCACCAACGCCGCCAAGATCCATTGTTCAAAAAGATTGAGGCGGGTGAAAATACTGGACATCACGCGCACTTGTTGGAAAAAGGGAGGCGGATCATGTTTTTGTGAATATCGAGTCGAGCCTTAGACACAGAACTTGGCGATGTGAAGAGGCTGGACTGCCTTTGCGCGCCAAGTTGATATTGGAAGCTGGGAGTTGGGAGGCCTGTGCCTGATTGGCTCAGGCTCCTGGGCGACGCGGTGGACTTCTGCCTCTCCGAGCAGGACTGGGAGTCAGCGAGCACAGCCTTCCTTGGCGTGTTTTTCCAGATCCACCAAAAGCAGAGGCGTCTCCTTGTTCAGGCATCAAGCTTGCTTCTCAACGTGCCTCCTCGCACTTTCGATTAAAAGGACCTGAAGGTGTTGACACTCCATGTTGATCTTCATAGCCTGAGGCTTCCTTTGAGGTGCTGGAACTTTATTCTGTGTATGTGTCATAGTTTCGGGGTTCATCGCCTGCCCGAGTTCATCCAGGCCCGTGACCAGCCTTGAGTGGTGCACAAGCAGGGCTGCAAGTCTTGTTGCCCAAGCAGAGTTATACAGACTTCTGGCAATCAAGGGAACATTGGCATGCTTCTGTGAGCTAGCCAACATACGTGCCGTCAGGCTGGAACTTCCCTTGCATTGTTCTGAGCATCCTGTTTGCCACATCTAGCACAATCCAATGTTGAGCATGTTGCTCAAGCAGTGATTGCAATCAGCGGGGCGGAGCCGATCTCGCCATCAAGGCGGTGATGAACTTGCTCCACCACTAAGCAATGAGAGATGTATACATATATATATATAAATAATATATATATATATATCATAGATCTTGACCAAGAGTCAAGGGGAGTCACAGCTAGCAACATCAATTTGCCAGGCTTGATCCTTTTTAAAGTTGGCCTGGACCACGGGGTGGCCTTCTTTTCCAGTGTCGGCCGTAGTTGGAGAGCATCTCCAGCTGATGGTTTGTCAGCGACCGCCAGGAGCGGCAGGCGTTGCGGGCGTTGTCAACAGAGGGCTTCGTACTGGACGCGCGCTGGGACAACGGGTGCGTCCCCTGCACAGGCTGGCAGAATCACGCGTAAGATGCGAGTGCGTCCATGAGATTTCATTGTTTTGTCGAACTTCTTCATTGGTTTGTTGGTTTGGGGCCCTGTTTGGAGCTTGTGGTGCCTCTTCAACTTGAAGCTGAACCACTAAAAAAAACACGGACCCGCACCGCTCATATATCCGCTCATTGCAGCTATTTAGTTGCTTCAAATGTTGATAGTGCTCTTGTCACAGTAAATGCAAAGATCGCCTCACTTTCTCTCTTCCTGAGGCATGCTCACGCTCAATCACGCTGTTGCTCCCGCTCGTTCTCCAACTCTCTTTTGCCCTTGTGGATCCTCACCGTATTGCCCTTATCACGCACATGTCTTCTTTCATTCTCATTTGCACAACCGTGATCTTCTAAACCCCAACACAAGCACAAAGATAAACACACACACACAGACCCGGGACCCACACCCAAGCATACACAGACGCACACGAAGCAACACAGACACACAGCCACACAGACACACAGAGGCAGGCGCACAGACGCACAGATGCGCAGAAGCACAACCGCACAGACACAGACGCGACCTACTCACTCCACCCACCCACCCGCACGCCCGCCCGGGCGCGCACGCACGCCCGCACGCACGCAGGCACGCACGCGCACGCACATTGCAGCGGCATCTGGACCTGGCCAGCTTTCCTCACTATTTTACGTTATCATGGGCCACCCACCCACCCACCCACCCACCCACCACACACAGACCCACCCACCCACCCACCCACCACCCACCCACCCACCCACCCACCCACCCACCCACCCACCCACCCACCCACCCACCCACCCACCCACCCACCCACCCACCCACCCACCCACCCACGACCTTACCAGCTCTCCTCTCTATTTTCACGGCCTTCTTGCCCAGTTCACATGGGCTGCCCCCTAGAGGTGGCTGCGCGGTGTGCGACCGCCGGGTGGGCCGGTGCCGATGCCCCTTGGGCCGCAGCGGCGACTGCACGCAGCGAGCGCCGAGGGTGGCGCTGCGCGGGGCGCAGCGCTGCGTGCGGCCGCGGCACAGCGAAGGCCAGCGATGGCAAGGGGGGGCAGGGGGGCAGAGCCAGCTGACGGTACGGATGACATATGAGGACATATGTCTCATAGTAGGGATGCGGCATGATGCGGCCAGAACTTGTGTGTTTTCCTGGAGATAAGCGCATAGAGCCAGCCAAGGTTGCCGGATTTGGAGAGAGTGAGAGACGTGTAGAGGGTTGTCAACGAAAGTCCAAACATCAGGTTCCTTGACCTGATGCGACTTGGCAAGGGCTTTGCTTTTCTAACGCCCGGCATCTCCTGCTTTATCAGATCTACAATTTGCGACCCAGAAACAAATCAGCGACGCTTACCAAATCCACAAATCACGGCGGCCAAATCCACAAATTCCATGTTCAAAACCACTAGGGCAAGCGTGAGTTTTGCTAGAAGGCTGATGGGAAGAGCTGAATTTCAGACATTGCTATAGCATATTCTCTGGGTCCAAAGGGACAGGGACAAGCCCGACCCTTTGCCCGCAGGCAGCAGCAACATTTGCACAGTCTGTGGAGACTTGGAAGCCGACGAGTATCTTGGCTGTTCAACGCAATCTTGTATCTCCGTGCGGACTGCTTTTTCTAGCTTTTTACATGCAGTTGAAGCCTTGCCTCTCCCCCTGAACTTATCGCGGCGAGTGATTGGTTGACTTGCAATGTTTGCGAAACCTACTGTGCCTCAAACGGCAGCAAGCTCGTTAGGTTGGGTCGCAGCCTCAACGCCTCCAGTTTTAAGCAGCTCAGATATGTCATTGGTGATACGCGTCCAAAAGCAAGCAGAAGCGCAGACGATGTTGGTTTCTCTTAGAGTCTCAGAGCAACATCTTGTTGCATGTCGAGGGCAGCTCCTCTCGTGGAAATCAGTTTCACCGACTAGCATTTGCTTCTGCACGGCTTCGAGGTATGATGCTGATCTGCCAGCTCCAACTGCTTTTCACCTGACCGAGCTGAACTCTACGGGCCTCCTTGCAGATGCACGGCAAGTGGTTGTGTGGGAGTCTGTCAGAAGAGGTCAGATTTGCGTGAACCTGACGATCACGGCATCTTCCAGCTACCAGGGCTCTGAGTTCATTTCATTTGGTCTCAGCCCCTTGGAAAGCAGAGAGTTTGGCTGTGTGGCAGGTGAGCCACAATCAAAACCCGGGTAGATGAAGGTTAGAAAGGGGCAGCCGAAAATAGTTGCGGATATCCGCCTTTCTAGTTCTTGAAGCATGGTTCTGGGTTCACCATTTTTGTACCGATCGGTTTTGAGCAAGTGACTCAGGTGCCATGATGTGCACCTGTCAAGTTATCTCGGATTTTTGCAGAGGTGAAGGATTCGGGCCACCGGCGCGGCTGTTCATTTGGTCCGCGCGTTGGTTCAGGAGGGATTTCTGTTAGCACAGCTTTTTCTGGGCACACAACTGCCTTGAGCTGACAGGGTTGCAGGGCAGATTCTCATAAGTTCCTTCCTAGCCAGTTGTTTTCTCTGCATGCGTTTCATGACTTGATAGCCTCCGGCTCTTTGGTCTGTTGGTTGCTTGCAGGCTGTGGGACGGCGTGTTTTCCTTGCAAGTGTGCCCCGAACATTCGTAGAAATTGGCGAGCTTTCGAGCAGGCGTGGCGAATGCAAGGGGCAAGGTGCTTGTGTTTCGTGCACATTCATTGTATAGGTCAGATGTGTTTGAAGTCGGACCGAACTACGAAAGCATTTTGAGACTGCTGGGCACACTCTTCTTTTTTGCAAGGGTGGTCGCTATGGGGCCTGCAATCTGTTTCTTGTTCATTCTGCGTCATTCCGCGCACAGCCTGACACATCCATGGCGTCGCTTTTCAGTGTGAATGCATTAGTAGATTTTGCGTGAGGGGTATTTTACCATAGAAGTTGCCTGCATTGAATCGAGCATGGGTCTCCTCGGGCTGTCGCTTTATCAAAGGCTGCTGTTGGAGCCTTTTGATGACACGCGTAAGTGCCGGGTTTGATGTCGATGGAAGGCATGCGCAGCTTCCAAAATGGCCCTTTGCCCATGCAGTCCACCCGGGGGCGCTTCTCACCCTACCCAGTTGCCCAGTGGCGCCCGTTTTTTTTACTATTTTTTTTGCGAAGGGGTTCCCTTGAAACTGAACCAAGCAACAAAAGGGATGTGCTTTTTTTTTGGGCCACTGGGCATCTGAGCCTAAGTATCGACGCCCACAGATCATTTGCCAGGAAGTCCGTCATGTTTGAAACAACCCAAACAGGAAGATTTCAAACGTGAATTTCCAGGGAGTCCACGTGGGCGGGGGTGCTTAGCGCCACCTCCACAGAAGATCAGATGTGCTTTTTCAACCCGGGCTTCTATCACCACGCTACGTCTTAGGGGCTTCACAGATGGGTGCATGGACCACTGCTTTGTCTTAACTGCAAAGGTATCCCTCAAATGGGGTCTTTTCACAGCTGTCCAAGGCTACGGTCATTTCCACGTGCATCAGATTGATGGCGAAATCTTCAGGGAAATCAATGGGAATCATGTGGGAAAGATTCGTGTGTTGCAAATTTGGTATGGGGAAAAATGGGCCCGCAGATGAAGGTAAAAGGATTGTGTGGCACCGCAGAAGCTTGCCCAGAATTGTTCTTTTGGTTGTAGCTTCTGTGTTTCTGGTATTTTGTGGTATGTCTGGTATTATTTCGTGCTTTGAGGCAATGTTTGGTATTTGCTGGTATTTTCTGCATTTTGTGTTATTTTCTGTTTGTGGTCGTGGTATTTGTTTGTGGGGTAGCATTTGTTGGGTGTTTATTGCGTTTTTCGTGGCTTCTCATAACCTTGCCTAGCTATTGCTGGGATTTCCATGTTTTTGTCTACGGGGCTGCTTTTAAGCCGCTGTGTGAAGGTATGTCTAATGTGACCCTATGGCTTGCACATGTCTCAGCTGCACCAGGGTGAAGACTTGTGGACGCCGTCACTTGCATGAAACGATCCCTTCCCTAGGTTTGACTAGAAGTGGTAGCCAGTCTTTCAGGACAGGGCTCCTTAAAAGATCTCCATTTTGCAACCATTTGAAACATGTGGCTTTTTCAACACCAAAATAAAGAGACACCCACCATTTACAAGTTGCATCGTTCTGGTGTATAATGTAAGAATCCATGCAGGAGGATGTGGTACAGGCCATCGCAGGCATCAGCTTTGACCCTCAGTCGAGCTGCTCTCAGGCTACGACCACGCGATGCCAGACTGCATCATCAATGACACTCTGAAGGCACGGCCTGTCGCCTTCAATTTGTCCATGAGTGGACTTCCATTTGCTTAAGACAGTTTTGTTCCCCTCTTGGTTTTAAAGGGCATCTATCACTACTGGAAATATTTTTGATTTTTCAAGGGGGCTTAAGCAAATGGAAGTAGATGAGTCAAGGAGTTTTTAATGCCCGCTGGATGTAAGGTTAGCCAATTCACCGGCATTTGGGATGCAAGCCACGCTGCTCGTTGCACGTCGAGCAGTTGCCATGCACGGCTTGTGCGGTGCCTGCGCTGAAACTTTGCCAAACAAGCTAGTGTGCGTTGAACTGATGGGTCTTCAGGAGGTGACAGTGCACCCGGAGCCTGTCTTTCCCTGGCTGCTTGGCCAGTGACGGAGGGCGAGCGGCTCCGAGCGCGCATGAGTTGAATGGGCCAAGTCTCAAACTGGGAGCCCCGTTTCCCGTTTGGTGATTGCACAAGGAGAACAACAAGAAACCAATAATTTGGAACCAACCTTCAAAATGTGACAGCCGGATCTGTTGGCAGTCTGTGATTGCCGCCTTGCTGCTCGAGGCTGTCAGTATGACACTTCAGAAGTGCGGTTGCTCACAGCAAACATGATCGGAAGGTGTGACTATTTGGAACATGGAGTAGCTTCATTTGAATGTTTGGTCGTTGAGCCTGAACTGAATATCCTGTCAGTGAGCCATGAGCACCAAGCTGTGTAGGGACTTGTCAAGATGGCATTGTTGTGCGCGCACACAGAGAGATATCTGCCTCCATCTCCATGAAGGCATGTATGTCAACCATCTTGCAGGATATTGAGGTCGCCGTTCAGGTGACAGGTGGTGTCAACTAACGTTCCGGATGCTTTGTTGGTGCCAAGAACTGTCTGCCCATCCATGTGCTAGAGGCTTCAGAGCAAATACCCTCCCGCCAACTAACATGGAAGTGCGCAGACTGCAGAAAGCCGGCTGTCCTCTTGGAAAGGGGCCTTGTGCACTTCCACGTTAGGCGGATGGGTAAAGGTTCTCTTCGGCATGCAGCATAGCAAGTCGATTCACATGCTTCACAGAGAGGTGTCTGGACAGCGGGGACTGCCTGGGCACTGCTGGGGCCTTGCTGCTGGAGGTGGCGGAGCCTGCCAAGGGACGAGCCGCCTTTGCACAAGAAGAGGCCTCACGCGCAGCCTGAGGGGCAGATCTGGGAGACCGGGCAGATTGTGTGCATCATATCATATCAATATAAACATGTGTATGACAAGTCTGAATGTTGCCTGGCAGGTTTTCAGAAGTTATTCGGAATTGTCAATGCCTAGAGAGTGAGCTTTTCACTTCTTCTGTTGGGAGGGTATCGCCAGGGGACGGTGGATGGTCATGGAGCATTTTTTGTCTGAAGGTGACCGCAAGCTGAGCTGCGAATGGCCTGAATTTGTGTCTGCTGAGTTAGGTTGGCGACCGGATTCCGCGGGATCTCATCTGAGGAAAGCAGACAAATAGCTAGCCAAAGAACTTTGTATTCTGCTTCAGGGTTGGTAGAAGAATACGCTCGATGTGTCATGTCAAGCTCGCGTTTTGCAGCAACATTGGGTTGGGGTATATTCACACACACACACACAGACACCTACATACGCACAGACGTGACTGAGCGCCAGGGTAGACAGCATTGCCGGTCAATGCAAATGCATTCTTGGCGGCCTACAATGTCCAGCTTGTGAACCGCGGAACTGTCACAGGTCACCCTCACGGGTCACTTGAATCAATGCCGAGTAACATCGACTGGAAGCATCAACCTGAAATGCTTCGTACTAACACGTGTCCGTGAAAACGCAGTCAACGTCACTACTGGGCACGGGTGCAATGCCTTTGCTTTAGAAGGAGTCCTTCCTGGTTGCAGTTTGTTTGCCTACTCAGTTTCTTCTACGGTTGCATGTTCGACTGCATGCTTTCTTTGTCATGTTATCTCAGTTGTTCAGTGGCACCAACTCTTTTTCCAACTTTTTCTTGGTGGCTGCCCCACTAAAAATGGTCCAAGCCCCAAAAAGGGACGCCCTTTTTTTCCAGGGTCACTGAACAACTGACTCCTCATCTTCCGCGGTTTCTTGTTCCTGTGGCCGCCGTCAGCGCCCGTTTGCGCCCATTTTAAGCAGATTGAGCTAGGCGTCCTTCACCGAGAATAGCCTGGGCGCCTTGGTGCTGGAGCGCCTGGAGGCGGGAAGGACGGGGAAGAAGGAAGGACCATTGGACCATAGGTGTCCTTTTCGGTTGCTTTTGGTAGAAAAATAGATGGCGATTCCTGGTTTACCTAGTGGTTTAATCTACCAGGGCCATCTATTTGCCCTAAAAGGACACCTATGAAAAAAAAACGAAGCTTTTAGAGACTTCCCAGTGACAAGCGCGGGCCAGGCTGCCGTCCGGGGGATTTCTCTGGGTGAAGTATAACGACCTCACACGACCGAATTCACCCCCCAACCACCTTATTTCAGGTTGGTGAAACATTATAATTCACCCAGATTCATTTTCCACTTTGCAACCCATTCGGGAATCAATTCAGCAAACACAGGCCGTTTCGCGTTCCTTTTGCGTTTGGCGGGCCGTTTTGAAAGGAAGTCAGGGTGATGAACACATGCAAAGCACCACATGTTTGATTTGATGTTGAACACGAGGACATGTCTGACCTGTCCTTCAACGGTTGTTTTAGGTTGTGTTGACACTGGCTGACAGAGTCAATTTGTTGTTGAAGGTGAGGTTTGCCCATTTTGGTCAGCGTTTTGTTTTGCAGGGCAATCTGGTGATCCCCATAGTCTGTTCCAATCCAGGGCGACTGATTGCCACCTGCGCATTTCATGTCGAACAGAATAGCCTTACAAAGCAGGAATCAGAATCAGGCGGCCGGGCCCCGGGCACTTCGCGCACTTTGCACGTGTTGATGTTGTTCCCCCGAGACCCCGCAGCAGCCATGGGTAGATCGTTTGGTCATCCCCACCCCCTTAAAAAAGGAATTGGGGGGGGGGTGACCCCTGGAAATCCATTTCTGGTTCCATTTTCCCTTTCGTTGGGAAGACTAGATCTGTGGAACCCCCCTCCCTACAGCAGGGGGGATGTTTGGTCTTCCAGCCATCCTGCTTCCATCGGGCCAGGGGGACTACACCACGCTGACCGCCCTGGTTGAGGCGGGCAAAAGCGAGGGTGAGACTCCTGGCGCAAGACAAGGTCGATACCCAAGGTTGGCAGGTCGGCGGCTTTCGGGCGGAGCAACCAGTTGATTTCAGGCTGTGTAGATCTCTCAGATCTATCATGATTCTCTTGCTGGAGGGAAGCATGATGTGGAGAAATGGCAGCAGAATCCTTGTTTGATGGTTGACAAAGCGACTTTAGAGTTGCCTGGTTCCTATGTTGGAGGTGTTTAATTTGAAAACAAAACTACTGGCCATTTGCGTACCTTCAACAAGGTTAACAGCAGCCACCTGACTCTGTTGCTTGATGCAGGTGAAGAATGGCACGGCTCAGGCAGGGATACACTACGTCCTTAGCCGCTTGGCCTCCGTGAATCGGGGACTCAATAACTTGTGAGCAGTTTCAACTTTCAAATTTTGTTAATGTTGAAACGCATGTGGAAACATGAACTGTGTTTGGAATGCTTGACCACAATGGCATGTGCCATTTTGGCTCAAGCATTGTCTGGGTTCCTGGAACCCAAGCTGTTTGAAAAACTTTGTGCTTTGACACTTTCGAACCTAACCCCGATCTAGCAATGGCTTCCTCGGCAACCTCGGCCACTTCCTTTGAGCTGATTGAGGACCAGACACTCACCGTGGAGGAGGTTGAAATGGCCAGCCAGGAGGCCCAGGAAATTCGCACACGCGAGGCGGCAGTGGCGGCCGGCTTGGTTTTGGACGAGCCCGAGGCCCCCCCGTCGGCTTCGGCTACCGATGTGATGAAGGACCTCTCCAGTGCACTGGAGCGTCTCCGTGTGGCTTTTGCCACACCGACTTCCGGCTTGGGTGCCCCTGGCCCCGCCGAGGAGGATGACAAGGACATGGAAGACGCGGACGTCACGGAGCGGGCCACGCCACCGGAGGAGGCACAGACGCCACCCACGAAAAGGCTGAGGGGTTTCGTGGCGGCTTCCCAGAAGACCACGGCTCAGGTTAACAAACCGGTCTCCTTGGTGCCGGTTGAGGGCCGACCCGGTTATTTCAAGCTGGTGGACCTCCCAGACCTTTTCCCAGTCCTTCCGGCATCAGCGGCCACTTTGCTAAGGGACATCACGGTGGAGGAGGCGGTCTCCCTGTTCCACAAGTTTGTCGGGAAGAATCTCACGGAGGACCTGGTGATTCGCATGGAGGCTTATGTCCCGATGAAGATCCAGATCCGGCAGGAGGAGGTCTGGGCCTCGCAGTTCCAGAGGAACAAGGCGTGCATTGGCACCCAGCGAATGCACAGGCTCGATGCAGGCCATTCCGATTACAAGTTCATGTGCAAGGCATGCGGTACGGGGTGGCCAGAGGCAGCCAAGCAGTGCTGGGTCTGCCCAGGCAAGGAGTTCGTCCCCTTCCAGGCACCCTCGGCCACCTATGAGGCGGACGGCATCACCTACAACCTGCTCATCGTGGAGGGCAAGCCGACCTGGATCCAGCAGCGGGAATGGGGAAGCCTGGGTGCCGCTGGCCCCGGTGGTACCCGGGCACAGGCCGACCGCAACTTGGGGAGAGCCCCTCCGAAAACGGACACGGCAGATGAGATCACCATGGCAGACGCGGTCCCGCTTAACAGGCGGGTGGACATCCGGCAGGAGATCCTGTCCATGGAGGCGGACGACGAGGCGCTGAAGGTCCGGGAATGCCAGGAGATCAAGGTCAAAGTGCAGCGGTCCCTCGGAGGCGGAGGCTCAGAGCTTCCAGCTCTACCACCCCCAGGTGGACCAGGCGATCCGGAAGAAGGAGGAGCTGCATAAGGCCTTGCGGGAGCACCGGGAACCGACTCCGGAGGAGGCCTCGGCCAGGCGGCGGCACAAGGAGTTGGTCACTGAGGAGATGCTGGACAATGAGATGGCTATCCTGGCGCCTCTCCAGGAGGGCATGCAGGCCCTGCCGTCAGAGGAGGTGGCCAATGAGGGAGCCCGTGCCCTCAGAAAGGTCAACCTGGAGCGGTTCAAGGCCAAGCTGAGAGACCAGTACCTGGAGGGGAAGGGCGTTGACGCCAGCCAGGCATTGGCTGAGGCGATGGGCTCCATGCAGGAGGCTCAGGCGGCGAACAAGCGCACCGTGGCCGGATGATCTCAGGCAGGCCCTGGAGAGGGGGCTGTTCTGCCCCCTAGAGCTGGATGACCCCGAGGACATCCTCCAGGTGGGGGACATCAAGGAGAAGTATGTCCCCTACATCAGGATGCGCAGAACCCATGGCACCAGGAGGCGCTGCTGGAGGAGATGCCCGATCTGGTGGCACCGGCGCCCCCCAAGGGTGCCACTGGCCTCGGGTGGGACCAGCCAATGTCACAGCAAGACCTGGACTCGGAGGAGGGCAAGCTGTCCTTGATCCTCTGGGCGATGAAGAGGCACCAGGGAGAGCTCCGGATGTTTGGGGGGATTTGGAAGAAGCATGCAAGCGGTGAGATCCCCCGGGGCGCTGACCAGCAGTTTAAGCTCATGCCGGAGGAGCTCCTGGCCCTTGAGCGCAGGACTCACCCACTCACGTGCGAGCAGGACCACATCGACCCAGTCATCTACACGGCCTTGGAGATCCGAGCGCAGGTGAACCGGGGCGAGCGCCCGGCGCCGGAGCAGGTGGTGGGGATCTTCTGGGCGAAAGGTGATGGGGTGTTCTGGACCAGACAGACGAGAACGTGGGACCTGCCGAGCCTGACGGGTGTGTACGCCCACAGGTTCACTTTCAAGTACATCTACTCGGCCTGGACCACTTTCCCGTTGATCGTGAAGACGCAACGTCGGGGCCGCAATGCGGAGGGCTCGACCTCGGACAAGTGGATGGGCAACATCCTCCAGATGAGGAAGGAGGCGGTGCCCTTCCTGGAGAGCCTGGGCATCCCCAAGCCGCGCAGCAAGGAGGAATGGAGCTACATCTTCAAGGAGATGGGGACCTTTTTGGCGGCCAAGAATTTCATCGTGGCCGGACCACTGGGCTTTCAAGAATCCCAAAGGGGTGGCGTACTGCAGAGATCGTCACCTTCACAACAAGTGTTCGGGATCATGCGGCCGATCCCACAACTGCCCGGTCAGGAAGGATGGGTGGGTGTGTGATGCCCCCCCATCGAAGCATGTGCCGCAGGCATGCCCACACCTTCCCAAGTGACAGGAGGCCACTCAGGGTGCCATAGGCCCCCGATGGGATCACAGGCCACCAGTGCGAGAGTGCACACAGCGGGGTGCCACCGGGCCCGGAAGCCCCTCCACCGAAGAAGAGGAGCGGACCCAGCCAGGCAGAAGGGCGGAAGCACCCCTTTCCCCCGCACCCACCGAGGCAGTGGGAAGATCCCCCAGAGAGACCCAGAGGTGAGGATCCGCCCGGCAAGGGGCGTTCCAAGGGCGGGCAGAACCGTCAGGGCAAGCAGCAAGCCCAGGCGGAGGGTCAGACAAAGGACACACGGAAACCCCAGGGGGGGCAAGCCCCACCTTCCCCTGGATGCAAGACACCCCGGAAAGACTGAGGCTCAGACTAAGGTGGACGCCACGTCCGGTGCCGGAGTCGTCAAAGCCGTCCCTCATCCTGCTGTACGCTGGGAAGGATGATGCGGGGGCCCTGGATGCTTACCTCCATGCCTACAACCCGGCCTTCTCGGAGTACATTTGGGCAGTGGACATCAGGCGAAAGGGTGGAGATCTTGGACAGGACATGCTGGGAGACGAGCCTTACTCTACGATGTGCTCCATGGCCATGGCGGGCAAGGTTGCCTTTGTGGGGGGCGGCCCCAACTGCAGGACGTGGAGCATTCTCAGATGGTTCCCAAAACCGGGAGGCCCGCCGCCGGTGAGGGGCAGGGCGGAGCAGACCCTGTGGGGCTTAGAGGACCTGGAGCCCCGGGTAATGGAGGACACGGACAACGACAGCGTGCTCATGCTCCGACAGATGTACCTGACCTCGCTGGCCTACCAGGGACTAGGTCAACTAACGGTCCCGCAGGTGGGCTCCTCCTTCCTGGAGCACCCAATGGACCCAATGGAGTGCAGCAAGAGCCCGCGCAGCGAGGTGCTCATCGATCTGGGTCACACGGGCCTACATTCAATGGGCGAACGCACTCCACCACTCCCTCATCAAGTTTGACGAGTGCCGCCTGGGCCAGGTGGTAGTGAAGTCCACGACATTGTCAACGGACCTTCCCCTTCACCATTGGCATGATCTGCGATGCAACCACGGAGCTCACCCCAGGGGGGAAAAGCTCAACTCCAGTGATCTCAGCCGGTATCCAGAGCAGATGACGCAGGGTCTCGCAGCGGCCATCCTTTGCAGAGCGGGTCCCGTCCTGGAGGCGCTGAGGCCGGGGGGCACAGTGCAACGACCCCCCCGAGGCGACAGAGGGAACCATCTCCCAGCACGCCGGGGGACAACAAGCGCCAGTCCCTGAGGCTGAAGGCCGGCCAGCAAGCGTTGGCGGGACTAACCTTGGGCTCACTTCCGGTCTCGGCCTCAGACAATCGGAGGTCCGGACACCAGCACAGCCGGCTGGCGGGACGGTCGAACTTCGGGGTGGAACTCTTTCTCCTGAGCCATGGGCACGCCATTGCATGGAGATCTCGGATCGGCCCACCACGCTGCCGATCACGCACGACCCAAATCTCTCGGACAAGGTTATGTACCTCCAGATGGCCTTCAAACAGCGCCCCCTTAGGGACGGGGGTGGGAAGCCCTCGCTTGGACGGCTGGCCCCGTGGACTCGGCCACTGTCCAAAGCAGCAGCGATGGGGGCCAAGATCTGTGTCCTCACTTCGCCATGGGGGGACAAGCTCCAAGAGTCGATCTGCTGGAGAATATCAGGGAGATCCTGGCGCCGGGGGCAGGCCGACCAGCTGAAGGCCAACCCTTCTTCCTGGACATCTTGCACAGCGTGGCGCTGAACATTCAGGACCCCGACCACCAGTTTCTTCGGGATCGGGACAAGGGGTCCCACTGGAGGTCACGGACCCACCCCTAGCCTCGCCGGGCATCAGCTCCAGGAACTCCCTCATCCCACGGGCCGGGGAAACTACCCAGCGGATCACTTCAGTGAGCTCATCCGTGGCACATTCCTGTGGGCATGGTAGAGGGCCCCCTCACCAAGGTGGAGGCAGCAGCGCGCTGTGGCTGCAAGATTGAGGACCTTTGCCCAGGCCCCCTAGCGGGCATCGACGAAGGGGACAAGATCCGCACCATCTACGATGGCTCGGTGGGCGGGGCCAATGACACCATCAGGAACCAGACGGTGGAAAGGACGACGGCTCCGACGGTGCTGGATGGGGTACAAGCTCTTCATTGGCTACATGCGGCAGCTGAGGGACCTCCCTCTCAGGGTGCCCCTGGCCCCGAGAAGGAGGTCGTAAAACCTCCACCCGAGGGCTGGCTATGGCCGGAGCCGGGCACCAGGTGGGTGCTGCTCAAGGCGGACGTCACCAAGGCCCACCGGAGAGTGAAGGTCCTCAGAAAGGACTGGCGGTTCCAGGTGGCTTCACTGAAAGAAGAATGGTGAACAAACGGCATGGCCAGTGCCCAATCCTACTGGGGACGCCTGGCAGCCCTTCTACTCAGGGTCCTCTACGCACTTTTCCCTCAAGTGGATTGGAACTTCGTCTTTGTGGATGACTTCCTGTGGGCAGTAAACTTGGCGGTGGCGCTGTTGGCAACACTCCTGGCCTTGGGCACCCCGCTTAGCTGGAAGAAGACACATTTGGCGGAGGTCAACACGTGGCTGGGCCCACCCGAACATCCCGCAGGTTCTCATGGCCGCCAACAAACACATCCTGGTGATGGAGGTCTTGCAGACCATGGTGGAAGGGCAGGCGATGCACTCGAAGGACATCGAGAAGGCCCTGGACCGCATCCAGTGGGCAACTGCTGCATGTCCGCTGGCGAAGTCGATGCTTCAGCCACTTTGGGCCTGGAAGATGGCCACCACCACGGTGGGGAACCCCCCAAGGTGGATAGGATGCTGGCGTTCATGCTGCGGTTCCTCTTCAACACGCCCTTCGTCCAGTACTCCCCTTACTTGCCGAAGTCCTCTTGGTGGGGTTGCAGCGATGCTAGCGCCTCGGACGAAGGACTGGCATTTGTGGGAGGATGGTGCTCCAATAAAATGGAGCCAGAAAAGAAGGAGGTGTACTGGTTCCACGAGCAGATCCGCGTGGAAGAGTACCCGTGGGCATTCAAGAATGGGGATCCCAAGCGGAGGATTGCGGCTTTGCTTTGGAAATGCTGGGCACGCTCTTCCTCTGTAACATGATCCTCACGCACCAAGGCCCTCTGTCCTCCCGGGTCCGACTCCCGGTGGGCAGTGACAATCAGGGCAACGTTATGGCGATGCTCAACCTTGGATCCAAGAAGCCCTACACCGCGGCGATCCTGATGGAGCTGGTCTTCCTGCTCCACACCCATGGCTGCTCGCTGGCGGCCAACCACGTGCCCCGGGAATTCAACCAGTGGGCCGATGAGCTGACGCACCCAGATTTCTCTGGGTTCGACCCTTTGCACAGGGTCCCCAAACAGGAACTCTGCGAGGAGTTCGTTTTTCTCCCGCGTCTCCTGAATGGAGATGCATTTGATCTTAGCGTGGGCCCACCCATGCTCCCGTGACCGGAGCCGGTGGGTGACTCACTTCCCCTGGTGGCAGACCCCCCTGTGGCCTGGGTGCCCCGGGCCCCGGCTCAGGGGCGGGCGCTATCAGTCTGCACACCCGTTCTTCAGTTTTTGAGAGTTTGTGGTGGGTGGCCCATGGGGCCCACCCAGCCGTTGACATCTGACAGGGGAAGATGAGTCCCTGGCACCAACACATTGCTTGGATAAAAGAGTTATCGCATGCTTGTGTGGTGCCGTTTGGTTAGCTTACATACACAGATTGTAATAACGCATTTAGAAGCACCCGTTTCATGTGCGGCTTTGAAGGCTGGGAGCCTTTCCTCGAAACTGCCGCATTCAATCTTTCTCAGAAATGCATAACCCCTGTGCTTGATTCGATTGGACAATCTGAATTCTATTCCCTGCATGAGACGCGCTTGGCAAGCCCGATGCACACATGCAACCAGAGCATGTGGGTGTGGGTCAAAATTTTTAACCACCACAAAACCCGCAGGTTTTAGTCCTTGGTTCCATTTACCTGGGTAAAAAAACCAAGTCCTGGGTTCCTCAAAATTTGAGTCCTGGGTTCCATGTTGGGCACCAATTTTTGACCCACGGCCATATCGGAAGCTTGACCCACTTCCCAGATAGCATGGCAACTGGCCAGGAGGAAGGCACCTGGCGACTTTCCTTGGGGACTTTTTCTGGTGACTTGGGAGACGTTTTACATCGTTCTGCATGTAACCAGTGACTCCATGTGAAGCAGGGCTCCTTAAAAGATCTCCATGTTGCAACCATTTGAAACATGTGGCTTTTTCAACACCAAAGTAAAGGAAGACCACCATTTACAAGTTGCAACGTTCTGGTGTATAATGTAAGGATCCCTGTGAAGCAAACATTCTACGAATCCACAGCGCTTCCGCTTCCTAGGCAGCGTGGTGGTCTCCTGGCCCCACGGGGACGCATCACCCAAGGCAATACCCCTCCGCTGCGTGCCTTCAGTGGGCGGAGGGAATAGGGAAGTGGGGCAGTAGATGCGACTTATTGGATTGGCCCTTTGTGTGGTGCACGATGGAGCCTGGTGCCTGCCATGCTTTTAAGCATTGTTACTGCCTTGTCTGAAAGATGTTGTGCGTAATTGCTGAACCTAGGCCCGGTAGGCAGACCTGAGCCGGGTTTAAGTGTTGAATTTCAAGGTCCGGACCGAGAGTGAAGTGAGACACAACCGCGCGAGTGATTCCTGAACAGAGTATCAATCGGCGGGTCCACAAAGAGGTGGTCCATGGCCCATGGTGGTCCAGGGCGCAGAAGCTTCAGCTCATTGAAAGTGAAAGCCAGCTCTTTCCTACGGAGGTTAGTAGGGCCATGGTGTAGCCGGCAAGACTTCAGAGCGCGGTAACGAAGACACATCGGCCTTCCTCGCACCCGATTGCACCAACATGGATCCTGACAGAGGGTACCTTGAAAACCACTGTATGTCGTACAGTGCTCCAAAGAGGCGATGATGGAAGCATATGCCAGTGTCAGCTAAAATCTGCAGCAATTGGATGTCACGTGGCAACCTACCCAAATTAGGTGATGGTGTTTCTCCAGAGGTGAACGAACATTTGCAAGCTTATTCACATGTTTTGTTCTTTTTCTGCATACAATACAAACACACGACACGTTCGCTCAGTTGCTTGAAGTGGCCAGTGCAAGTGCTGGGTAGAATGGCATGGGATCCACTTCAAGACTTGGTTGTCAACCTGAAGTTCATCGCTGCAGAGCAAGTCAAGACGTTTAGAAGCACACTGGAACTTCTTGTGATGTTAAGACTCCGGCGCACTATTTGCTGAAAGATCATGAGCCCTGTTCTGCGTTAGTTGCCCTTGCGGGACAGAGGCGGAATTGTTGCCGGAGCCCCGCCGCCAACTGCATGTATGTTACCAAGGCTGAGTGAAACGATTGCTACACCAATTGCCCAAGACAATGCTTTTGATGTACTTCGAGTGGCAGGGCTTCGCAGCTTTCCGGTAGGCTCGCAACTTGAGCTACGGTGATTTAGCTTGCAACACACTGAAGCTCACCCGAGGATTTCCAGACAACAACGTCTATGAGGATCGCGGCTTGCTCTCTGGTTGTCACTAGCACCCAATCTAGGGGGGATTTTTTCAAGGCAGGGGAGGTTCGTTGCCTCGTCAGCAGCGCCTACAACAAAACTAGCTAAATCTTGTCGCACTGCCAGGCGAGACTTGTTGATCCCAGGGTTCACGCCTTATCACTTCAACCGGATCCATAGCCCTCCAATTGTTTTCACACGGCCACCGAACACAAGTACTTGAGGTCCCATTCAAATGCACGGGAGGTGCTTGTTTTGTGGAAGGCCACATGTGTTGGTCTGCTCCAGCGGATAGGTTGTGTTTGCACAGGGTCATGAATGATGTACTTTGTCAGATTCTCTACCTCTGGACCCCCTTGGACAGCTGTGTAGATATGTTGACAACCATTGCGATATTGTGGCTCCTGAGATGATTTGCCTGGCCTGCTTTTTGTATGCATGCAACACTCAATGTTGCATGCCCTCGTGCCCTTATGTTATATGTTGAAAAGGCAATCAATGGTTTTTGGAGACAGCTTCTACGGAGGTGGATGCTCAAAGGCCACAAACAGTCCAGCAATGCTGGACCTGCTTGAAGACAGCCGCGTACGCTATGCTCAAAGTCAAAGTTCACTTGGGATCTCTGATACGGGGCTTGGAACAACCAAGTGAGGATTTCCTACCGAAGGAACTGCGATGTGGATCTGCATAAGAAGAATGGCACACAGACACAGGCCTCGATCGGATCAACCAAAGCCGATCGCGAGGATGAGCTGGAGCTGGTGCTGCAAATGCGAGACGCTGACACCGGCGAGCCCTTTCCCTCGCGCCGAAGTAGCAATTGAGACGGCGAGATCTTTGCGGTGCGTCGCTTTCAAAGCACCGCATGCAGAACTGGTTTTCGGGAAGCCGCCTATGGATTCGCTGCTGATAGTTTTGGCCAGACCCAGACAGGCACCATCTCACCGCACCGGCATGCCGGTACGCCAACATGCCGACACTCAAACACGTACACAGAGGCAGAGGCAGAGGCAGAGAGAGAGAGAGATGTGAGAGAGGGAGAGAGAGCGCGAGACACAGAGAGGGCGAGAGAGCCACACACAATGAATGAAGGAAGTTGACGACTAAGCAGAGCCATTCATCCCTATTTGTCCGTTGCCATTCTAAGACCCATTCTGATGGTTAGTTGGGAGCGGTACTGGGGGGCCGGAAAAGTATTACTTGACTTCTGTCCTTTTCCCAGCTTTCAGGGCTGGCTATTCTGATATCCTGTTAACAAACCTAGAATGCTTTAAGAGATATGTTGTAGACATGTTCATTTGCTCGCACCTTGTAGACAAATAGCTTCAAGATGGTAACGGGAGCTGATATTAGGAAGTCATCTATGATTCAAATATTCATCGTATGACTTTCTGTGACTGAAGGGATTTTGCGCTAGACAAGCTCTACAAATCCAACCAACAAAGAGACAAGAACGGAGGGAATCCACCTCTTGGATCTGCATGATATATATAATATATACATATGTACAAAATACACCTATTCCCTGCCTTCATCTCTCTGTCATCCAACTGTTGGTCTTATTCTCGTCGATTCACCCTCTTTCACCTACAGAATGACCTGATAGCAGCTGATACGGATAGCCAAAAGGCTTCTACATGAGGTACTACTGTGGATGGACAAAATCCATTTCGCACCACCTAAGAGACCCTGCAATGATGATTCCCTTGTAAATACCAACAAACAATGGTTTCCCATGGTTTCAAAGTGGTGCAGGATTTCGTCCATCCACAGAAGAAATGCGAAGACTTATTTGATGATATGATTTGTCGCTTCCACAAGCTAGACTGTGATAAAGATTGGGAAGCCTGGGAAGCACGGAGACACACGCACACATGGAGAGAGGCACAGTCGGAAGGACGGACAGATGGAAGCAGAAACAGGGAGGGTGAGACTCATGCTTCCAGAGATAGGGACAGACAGGCACAAAGGCGGACAGACCCACACATACAAAAAATACACAGAGGCACACACGCACAAGCACAGAGACGCACACACACACACGGACCGCACAGACCCACCTCACACATGAACTTGGTCCTCCGCATGCTATGCAGAATCCCGCTGGTGTTTGCCAGGTGTAGGCAGCTGTGCACACCGACAAGAGGTGGACAGGCCAGGTGCGAAAGGCTTGGTTCAGCACTTTGGCCAAGACCTGCTTTTTCGCTCATTCTGGTTCTGCTGGTGTTCTTGGAATGGCGAGACATCAAGCACCATGTTCGTAAATTCATGCGATTTGCCCGCAAGTCCTTGCACAACGCCAACAAGCAAAGCCTCCTACTTTTCCTTGACAGCTCTCAAGTAGATCGAGGCAATTTCCCTATTACGTGGCCCGTCATGAAGAAGGCAATTGCACAAATATGCATTGCACAATTGTGCGTGTAGCTGAGGCCTTACTCCAAATAAACAATGGGTCACTCTCAGATACTGGGATCTGGTTGATTCGGCCATGGCTAACTGGTATGAATGGGGCATGAAAGCCACTGCGATGCGCCTCCAAGTGTTCGGCAAAAAGGATTCCACGCATGTGAAAGAAAGCAGGCAGAAAACAGAACCAGGTGGAACTGGCCTGCCTCTGCAATTTCGATTCCTCAAGCTCTAATGTTTTTTTCTTACTATCTCACAACATGGCCAAGCCGAGGGGAAACCAATGAACACAAACCCTCATATGACTCACATGAGAAATGGCAAACCAATGAACCATTTCAGCCATTTCATGGTATGAATCGTATGAATCATTGAACCCTCATATGAACCCTCACATGAAGCATTCATATGGCTGCGGCTCAGAAAACTGGTACCAAAATGGAACCCTGGTAAGTGGAAGCATGAACAAAAACCAGCGTAACCCCTCCTGTTTAATTTTGAGCCACAGCCATATGAACCATTCATATGAACCATTTCATTCTCAATGACTCTATGAAACCTGAGACCTCTTTCAACCCGCGCGCTTCAGAGACGTGAGGCTCTGCGTGCTGCGGCTCTCCGACGACGGGGACGGCGGCGTCCTGGGCTTTGGCGCGGCGGAGCGCTGGGCCGCAGAGCGGCGCGGCGCCGAAGGCGCGTGCCTGGCGGAGGTGCGGCGGCACGGGCGCAGCGGGGAGGCGGGGGATGGCGGGGGATGGCGGGGTGTGGGGGGGGGCGGTTGAGCTTCATGGCGCTGGTTGGTTTAGATGTTTTTGGTTGAAACCTGGGTTTGTGTCAGATCTTTTTTTGTTTTGGTTTGTTTCTCATGCCCAAAAACTGTTTGGATTTGGGTTTGTCCTGATGGTTGTGAGTGAGAGTCTAAAAAAAGAAAAACATGATGCAAAACGAAGATGTACTTTCATTCGGAGGAGGGGGGGACTCGGCTTCCCTCGTACGCTGCACGCACTGCTTGAACAAAAGAATGCCAAGCAGTTGGAGGATGCCGTGGCCAAGGACCCAAGGAATGGTAGAATGATCCTCGTGGCATTGATTCTTTGGACTCATGACCCTGGCAGCCAGGGCGTTTCATGTCCTCAAGCAGAGGTTGTGAGCAGTTTTGAGTTGCTAGCTCTTCCTGAGGCTCTCCCTTAGGCCCTTAACCCCAGACTTGGCCTGGACAATCATGTGGTCTCGTCGACCCGGCCCACGAGGACAACTTTTCTTTCAGACGACTGCCTTCTTGAGGCGGTGTGATGTTCGAGATTTTGGGTGTAGGGCTAAGGCTGGCTGGGCTCAGTCGGGGTTTGGGCCCAAACTTGGCTCGAAAGGCCACAGCCACCCTGGAATTGACCACGTGCACACGAGAGATGGCCGCTTGGCAATTCAAGTGGCAGGGCTTGTCTCCGGAGCAGCCGGTTGGTAGTTAGTAGACAGGAAGTGCTTACGGCCGGGAAGAATGTTGTTTCATGAATTGCAACTGGGGATTCAGTTAATCCCGTGTTTGAAACGACCCTTGGGGAAGCTCCGGTTGCAAGAGGTACCTTGTCACCTTGCATTGAATGGAGCCCAGCATTGCACGAACCCCGGTCGTAGACTCCCGAAACCGCGCGCACAGAATTCTCATGGAAACCCGCAGGACACCTGAGAAAGCTGCGCGAGCAAGCAAGAGGCAACGTCGCCGCTGAGGCCACGCCGGGCCGCGACTTCGCTTTCACCCCAGGCCCGGCTTTGGTGTGGCAGGATGGCCAAGACGGTGCCCAGTGCGCGCTGCAGTTCTCGGCTTTCCACAGCGGGCCGGCCAGGCAGGAGTGGAGGGTGGTCCATCGGAAAATGGAGTGAGGAGGATCTGGGATGGCCGTGCTTGGGGTCTCCCAGCAATTTCAGGGATTAGTATTCGTCAATATCGATTTAATTTGGTTCAGTAGCATTCTTTGGTTTCCTTTTTGTCGGGGCTTAGCAAGAGCAGGGGCAAGGCCATGTGTGAGCCTCTCGTTTCAAATCCGAAGAGCTCTTAGTCGTACACCTGTGAACACTATTGCATGTTCTGCTGTTGCGCAAAACCTTTTGACTCCTCCGACAGGGCCGGTGTAGACCTCGGACCTATGGAACCGCGCCTACCCTCGGGCCCTTTTTCTGTGAGGGATGGCCCGGGGATGCACTAGGCATGTGCCACAACCTGTCCTGTATGTCCAGCCCTTCGGCTAATTGCCATGCGTCAGGCAAAAGCTTCCCGTGGGCCTCAAATCGAAAGCCCCAGCACTCTGGCTGTGCCCATCTTGCCACTCGTCGAACAAAAAAACGCACCCGTCGAGTTGAGGGGCCCAAGCTAGCTTGATAATAGGCGAACAAGGGCGACCCAAAGCAAAAGGTACTATCTGCATTTTGAGGAAAGCAGCGAGGTAGAAGAGCCATGGCATACGCTAGTACTCCGGCCACTTCTATCGCTGACTGCATCGTGACAGGGATGCTGGCCAGTACAAGGACCTTCCAAGAATACTCCGCAAACGCTTTCCCGTGTCTCCACTCCTACATCTTGCACTGTGGTCACTGGAAGTTATTTCTGGCGCAACGGGATACGGCGCTGGAAAAAAAACGTGCAGCACAGCTTGGCCCAAAGCCTCCTGGATCGGTCCTGGATCGGTTCGATCAGCTGTGGTCACACCTGCCGTAGTGCCGTCAGGCTAGACATCTACGAGGACGCCGACACCGAGCCGAACGAGGCCATCTGCTTCCGCCTGGCCGCGGGCGGCAGCGCGGTGGCGGCCCGGCGATCGGAGCGGGGGTTGAGCCAGGTCTTGGTAGAGCATCGGACGTGGGTGTCATGGTAATGTTAACCCCAGATTAGTAAATTCCTGGTTGATTAATAGGGGGCGTGTCCCCTTTTAGTGGGGATTCGTCATTTTTGGAGGAAACACCCCCCTTAATAATCAGACGGGTTTGTTGATCCTGGGTCAACATTAGATCATAGTAACATAATAAGTCATCGAGCCACAGGTAGGCCGTAGTATTTGGGAGAAGGTCATGGAAGGTAATGGAAGGTAATGGAAGGTAATGGAAGGTCATGGAAGGTCATGGAAGGTCATGGAAGGTCATGGAAGGTCATGGTAGGTCATGATGGGTTTTGGTGTGTCATGGATGGTTCACAGTATGTCATGGTACCTTCTTGTACAACATAATGCTTTATGGCAGGTCATTGTTGGTCAGAAAAGGGGGTCATTGCAGGGAATGTAGGGTAGGCCATAGTTGAACCGTCATAGACGATGGAAGCAGAAGGGCATCATAGTGAGTAGGTGAAGGATATTTATTGTAGGCCATCGTAACTTGAAGCAGCTAGCGGGCCATCACAATGCATCATTGGTTGTAGTGGGGCGTTGTCGCTTATAGTAGTAGGTTGTGGTAGGCCATATGTGCCTGGCCATTAAAGGTACAAAGGTACATGGCCATCGTCAACTCGGGTACGTTTTCCAATGGGGCGATTTTTCCAGTTCTTTTCCCTGCAAACCAAATTGAAGGAAGCCGTCGAGATACCCATTTCTTCGGTGAAACGCGCCTATGGGACCTTCGGCCCGCTGTCGCCCATGGGATCATGTTCGAATCCCCAATCAATGCATCTGGGCAGCGGAGGGTCGTGATAGGTAGTAATAGGCATTGCGGGTCTTGTAGCTCAGGGTGGATCATCAATGCCACTTCGCTTGAAAGATGCCCTTTAGGCTGCGACAAGCTTGGCAACTTGTCCTTTTCAGTTCCTGCACAATCTGGGAGGCAAAAGGCTGTCCGGCCAGTGGCCTGTCCGAGCAATCCCATACCGTCCAGAGAATTCCTCGTTTCTGAGCGGCTTCCAAGTGCTTGTCACGGGCCCTTGGGCCTGAGAAGGCAAGGTGACAAGCACCAGGAGGGATGTCCAGAGGGCCAGGGTTCCGTTTTTTGACTGCCCCAAGGTAGACTCAAACCCGGTTTTGTTTTGGGGAAATCCAGCCCTGGGTTTAAGTCGACTTTGGGGTAGTCAAAAAACGGAACCCTGCAAAGGATTGTCTGACGCTTTGACACTGCGCCCAAGCAAAACAGATCTCCCGAACCGCCATTCTCAAGCTACACTGGGTCAGAGCAGGTGACCGTTGTGGTATGATAATTTTTATGGGAAGCACTGGTTATGGGAAGCACTGGTTGCGGTACTCGTAGGTCATAGTAGGTCATAGTGGGTCATAGTAGGTCATAGTAGGTCATAGTAGGTCATGGTAGGTCGTAGTAGGTCATAGTAGGTCATGGTAGGTCGTAGTAGGTCATAGTAGGTCGCGGTTGGTCACGTGTTTATAGAAAAGCAGAATATGTTAGTGTACGTCACAGTAGCTCATGGTGGGTCACAGCAGTTCACAGAAGGCTTCGTTAGATTGTAAGGCGTCACTGAAGGTTGTAGTAGATCATATTTCGTCAAAGTAGGCTGTGCCAGGCAATTGCAGGGGAGGTTCTGGTCGACCACCGTAAAATAGGCAGAAACCAATGTCCTGAGCGTTGGGTTTTGGGGGAAGCCTCTATCCCAAAAAACCGAAAACAAATCCTCGAGGAAACCGAAAAAAAACAAAATATGAGGGAATGTTTGGTATGGCAGACTTGGTGGCACCCCAAAGCTCAAGAGATCTCAAACCGAAAAAAAAAGCCTCGAGGAAACCGGGGAGAAAAAAAAAAAAAACGATATGAGAGAAATGTTTGGTATGGCAGACTTGAGGGAGGTTTTTGTCTGAATGTGTTTCTTTTTGGGGGGGGGTTTCCTCGAGGTGTTTTTCGGTTTGAGATCTCTTGAGCTTTGGGGTGCCACCAAGTCTGTCGTACCAAACATTTCCCTCATATCTTTTTTTTTTGGGGGGGGGTTTCCTCCAGTTTTTTTTTGTTTTCGGTTTTCTATAGGAAATGTTGGTTTTCTTGAGGTTTTTTGGTTTTCTACAAGAAATATTGGTTTTCTCAAGGTTTTTCTAAGGGTATGCCCATAGTATTGCTCGTCTCTTATTAGGCCAACATTAAAACAATACTAGGGCAGTACTAGGGGAATGCTAGGGCAATACTATGGAAATACTTTGGGAATGTCAAGGGAATACTAAGGGAGAATATTAGGGGAATGCTCAGGGAATACTAAGGGGATACTCTTAAGCTCAACCTGTCTGAGTTCTGTTAGTTTCCTTGCTAGGGCGACCATAGGGGAGTACTCAAGGAATACTAAAGGTGAATACTATGAGAATATTAGGGGAATATTCAGGGAATACTAGGAGTATACTAAGATAACGCTTTAGGACTACTAGACTAAGAGTATTCCCCCAGTATTCCACTGCTCTTCCTGGACAGTGTAAAGGGAATACTAGGAGGGTAGTGATGGACATGCTAGGGGTATGCCAATAGAATACTGGCAATACTATGGAAATACTTTGGCAATGTCAAGGGAATACTAAGGGAGAATATTAGGGGAATGCTCAGGGAATACTAAGGGGATACTCTTAAGTTCAACCTGTCTGAGTTCTGTTAGTTTCCTTGCTAGGGCGACCATAGGGGAGTACTCAGGGAATACTAAAGGTGAATACTATGAGAATACTAGTGGAATATTCAGGGAATACTAGGAGTATACTAAGATAACACTTTAGGACTACTAGACTAAGAGTACTCCCTTAGTATTCCCCTGCTCTTCCTGGACAGTTTAAAGGGAATGCTAGGAGGGTAGTGATGGAATTGCTAGGAGTATGCCAAGAGAATACTGGAGTTATACTTGGGGGGGGGTAGGGATGGAAATGCTGGGGGTATGCCAAGAGAATACTAGAGTTATGCTAGGGCAATAATACAGGTAATCCCCATAGTATTCCCCTTCTTTTGCTGAGCAATGTAAAGGGAATACTAAGGAGTAGTGAAGGAAATGCCAGGGGTACGCCAAGAGAATACTAGAGTTATACTAAGGCAATACTAAAGGTACTCCCCTAGTAGTTCCCTTCTAGGGGAAGAATGAGGAAATACTAGGGGTATACCAAAAGCATACTAGGGCAGGCAATACTATGGAAATACTCAGGGAATATTGGGGCAAGACTACGGGAGAGTACTGGGGAAATACCCAGGTAATGCCGGGGATATTCTTTAGCTTAATTTGCTTGACTTCTCTAGTTGCCTGGCTAGGGCAATACTAAGGGAATACTCAAGAAATGCTAGGGGAATACAAAAGGTAAATGCTGAGAATAAGGGGAGTACTGAGGAAATACTAGGGGTATACCAAGATAATATCTGAGGACTAGCAGACTAAGTGTATTCCCTTAGTATTCCCCTTCTCTTACTGAGAAGTTTAAATGGAATACTCGGGGGGGGGGGGTAAGGGAATACAAGAAGTAAATACTGGGAGAATACTAGGTAATATTCAGGGAATACTAGGAGTATGCTAAGATAATACTTAAGGCTTGCCAGACGCAGAGTACTCCCTTAGTATTCCCCTTCTCTTTCTGAGCACCTTATGCGTGCCCCCAAAAAATTGCTCATTTCCCCTTATGCAAAAAACAATCGGGCAGTGTCAGATGCAGATGCCAGATGCAGATGCTAGATTGAATGACAGACACAGATGCCAATGCAAACACAAAAGGAACAAACACAAACACATGAAGAGCTCAGAGAGGTCAATGTCCCCCCAAAAAAACCTGTTGTGCCAATCAATAAAACACTGTTTTTTGCGTAAAAAAGCCCAACGCCGGGGACATCGGCCTCTCAAAATAGGATATGGTTGGTAACCAGAGGGCATGGTAGTCCATGGTCATAGGTCATAGTAGGCCATGTAAATGATTGCGAATCCACTGTCTTGACTGCATAGATTTCTCCTCCAGTTGTTCATGCAAGTATGTCCAATGCATCCAGACTCACTTGCACCTGAGCAGATCAGTCGACAAGGTGACCAGCCAGTCCAGCGCCAACTTCAGCAGCAGCTTCACGCTGGTGCTGCAGGACCGGCTGGCTGTATCTTCTTAACTGGAATTACACCAAACAGAGCAGCTCAAGAATCATCCCTGAAGCATAGCAACAAAAGCCCAAAACTGGCCCATGTGTTGAAAGGGCCTAGAAAGGAGTGCATATGACACATCAGCATTCCCTTCTTGAGCTGCCGCCAACTTGTATGAATTGCATCAGCTTGGCCGTTTGGAGCCGCAGTTCACTTGTCAGACCCGAGGTATGGCAGTCTAGTTACCATTCTCAGAAATCTTCAACAATCCCTTTGGCAAGGTCTTTTCATTGGCTCGCGATGGGCTGGTCAAGTTTGAGGAATTTCCCACCACTCTAGGGGTTGATTCTCCATTCTTTTCAGCCATTGTT